AATTTAAAAACTAAACCTAATGAGTACTGTGAACTTACATAAATTTGATTAAGCGAAGCAATTTAAGCACAGTGAAAACTAATAAATGAGGAGAACTCAAACCAGCTACATTCTGTTAAAGCCAAAAAGTAAAAGGTTAAGGCAATTCAAACCGTTTGAGTTAAAAAGCTAATCTAGATGAGTACTGTGAACTTACTTCATTTAAGTTAAAGTAATAAGGTATTTAATTAGCACATTGCCTTCGACACTCAAATGAGTAGAATTAACTTTCAGTAAATTTGGAGTTAACAACAATCATTTCATAAAGTTCTCATAAAGTTGATTGTTGGGTGTTACAGTGTACCACAATGGCAGAACATTTAGCTTGTTTGTAATAAAAACTCTTAATATTTGAGTTATTTCTTCTGAAGGATATAATAATGCAGTATTTGTACTTAATCCAAGAGTTTTAAAATATTTGGACAGAAACGAGACAATGCAAAGAAAGGCCTTTTTTGCATTATTAATGTACTAAATAAAGTTAGACTGCCCAGAATACTGCTAAATACACTCAAAAAAATATATGTTTTACTTGTTCAAACTACTTAAGTAAAATAAGCTGAAACAACACAATTATTGAGATTTCATTGGGACAACCTAATTTATTTATGTTCAATACACATAAATTTGTTAAAAGTGTTAAGTGAACCATTTGTGTTGGGACACCATAATCAATTGTGTGGAACCCTGCATTTTTACAGTGTAGAGCTATTCATCTTAACTATATTCATATTGCAATATTTATTACAGAAAAAAAAAAAAAAAAAAAAATATATATATATATATATATATATATATATATATATATATATATATATATATATATATATATATATATATATATAAATATATATATATATATATGTGGTTGAAGTCAAAATTATTAGCCGCTTTAAGCTGTAATTTCTTTTAAAAGTCTACAGAACAAACCGTCGTTATACAATAACTTGCCTAATTACCCGAACCTGCCTAGTTAACCTAATTAACCTAGTTAAGTCTTCAAATGTCACTTTAAGCTGTATAGAAGTGTCTTGAAAAAATATCTAGTCAAATATTATTACTTTCATCATGGCAAAGATAAAATAAATCATTTATTAGAAATGAGTTATTAAAGCTGTTATGTCTACCTTCGTTAAACAGAAATTGGGGAAAAAAATAAACAGGGGGGCTAATAATTCTGACTTCAACTGTATGTATGTATGTATGTATGTATGTATGTATGTATGTATGTATGTATGTATGTATCTATGTGTGTATGTATGTATGTATGTATGTATATGTGTGTGTGTGTGTGTGTGTGTGTGTGTGTGTGTGTGTGTGTGTGTGTGTGTGTGTGTGTGTGTGTGTGTGTGTGTGTGTGTGTGTGTGTGTGTGTGTGTGTGTGTGTGTGTGTGTGTGTGTGTGTGTGTGTGTGTATATATAAACGTTTTAAGTCCTCAGAGATATGTGTTTGATAAATGAAAATATCCCTCAGAGTTCAGTGTTATTGCTGCAAATTGGAACTTGCTCATTACAAAGAAACAAACAAACTTGCTGCTATCAATTCACTTGCAACAATGACGTCAGATTATCTCTATTGTTAGAAAACAATCACAAAGCAGACATCTTATCTTGATAAAACGAAAGGAAGGAAAGATATACTTTACTTCATGTGCCTTTTCAAAGTCAACAAGATAAGCATAATAACTAAGCAGCGAGAGCTTTTAAATACGCCTTAACGTGCTTAAGAACGGAAATCACACGTTACAGCCCATCTTTATTTGAACCAAAACACTCATTTTACCCCAGACTTTCTCTCATGACACTGTGTGGTCCAGTCATTTTCAGTCTTTGTTCAGCAGTTCTATTTATTTACATTTAGATAACACTTCCCCCACCGCCAGAGACTGGGAGTTAAATTTCCTCCTGGTGGAGATTAACAGAGGACAGTAGAGCCCCGGGGTTTGTGTCCTCGGGAACATTTCATTTCATCACGTTCCATTTTAGCTTTAGCCAACTGGCCAGCTGAGCTCTGAATGAGAAGCACATGTGAGCGCGAATTAAAGGCAAGAGCTGGTGCTATTCCAACATTCTGCTGAAAGGGCAGTGAAATACAAACTCGGAGCAAACTCAGCCAAGACCCCTTGAACTTCTGTCATGGTGTAATGGCAGAGGAGGAGCATTTTTACACTTCTATAAAGACGCTCATGTATTTTTAAATGGCTGTCTGACTCCATTATACTGTATATCAGCAGCAATTTGTTGTTCAAGTGTTATCTGGTATTTTTTTGCTAGCGTTTTGCTGTTGTTGTTGATTTTTATTGTTTTTCTCTATGACAGCAGGCCCAGTGAAACAGAGCAGTCTGTTCTTTGCCAGCCTGGTGTTAAAGTCAGGTTGAGACGGGCTTGACCAGAAAAAAGAACAGTTGCTCGGGTTTCACACAAATAATGGCACTGAATTTAAAATTGCTTTTCATTCTGTTGTTCTGTTCAAAAACTATTTAGGACTGCATTAGATGACAGAAAAGTATTGAAGCATGTTTCTATCCCAGAATTTAAAAAGTAAAATAAATACAATTGATTTAAGCTTTATATATATATATATATATATATATATATATATATATATATATATATATATATATATATATATATATATTATTTATTTATTTTTTTTCTTTGCTTTTTTGTTGTGAATTTATATTTTCTTCAATTCAAAGTCTGAATTACAAAATATAAACTCAAATTAACACACATCCCACCCTGCAAAAAACTATTTCAAAGAGACCCCCCTCCTCTAAATGTAAAAAAATTAAAAATAAATAAATCATCATTAAAAATATATAAAAATAGCTCATTTTTAACAGGTTCTATTTTGCTAGAATTTTCTCTCAAGTTTACATTTACCCTGACCACCAAGGGCTCAAATGTAATTGATAAATCAATATGAGATGTGGTCATAGCCCCAGAAATCCTCAATGCAGCTGTTCTGACAGTAGTGATTTGTGAAATTTAAGACTTACTATATTACTACATGTGATACACCAGCCTGATCCCACGTGGAAACATAACTATCTTGCTTTTTGGCAGTTTAGTGGCTTTTTACTAGGCCCAAACAGCATACGTGTGCAGAAATCTGCAGATTTTTAGCCTATTGTATTTACTTTTGTAAATGTGTATACTTTTATATTTATTTTTTAATTAGTTTCAGTATTATTATTGTGATATTATAATAGGAGTATGAAAATGTTCATATAAATCATTTACAATTCAGTTTGCAAAGTAATATTTTCTGTCTTTTAATAGAGACATGCTTTATTTACCAAATAAGTGTATCTAATTGGATTTGCATTGTAAGCATTAAATAAAAGTTTAAAAGTTATTGTTTTTTATTTAATATGTTAAGTTTTTAGTTTTGATACTCCTAAAAGTTTTCTGTATAAATCTGCAGATTTTTTTTTTTTTTTACAAAATTCTCTGCAGCAATAGCAAAAATTGTCTGCAGATTCTGTCTGGCCCTACTAAATAGTGCAAAGTCATATTAGTTCATTTGTATGAACATGTGGTTTTTAAAAGGGGGGTGTGGCACTAAACCCCACCCCTAACCAACTATCATTGGGAAATGAGGTCGCAAAAAATTCCTACGAATTAGCTACTAAATCAAAAGGTTATGACTTGGCGTGAGATGCAGTAGCACTAGATATACTCTCTGCTTTTTCCCATGAGAGTTCCTCCATAATTTCCATTATATTACTTTTAATTTGTGGGCATCGTGGAACCACTATAAACCCTGGATTCTGGTGGCATGAAAATGTCAGTATTGCTATAGAAACCAAACTGTTAAACATATTCTTGTGAAAAACTCTATTTTTAATGTTATCAGACAACAATTTTTATCTGGAGAGACTTTAAATCATATATTTTAACATGTAAATCCTTCTAAAATTCAAAAGTAAACCTTAAACTCTTTCAGATTTTATCTTATATCATTATTAATATTTATGTATTTTATCTTGTATTTTGAACTGTTGATGACTTTTAATAGCTAGAATATTATTATAATTATAGAAATGTGTTATATCTAAAATGTGGCAAACTTTTTTTGTGCCATGACTTGTGCCATAGAAGCCGATATGGCAATTCTCTGTCTCTCCTGGTGGCATGTCTGAGTTAAGATTTCAAAATGATGAGAAATCACTGCAAAAAACTAAAATGTTTAGTCTTGTTTCTACTCTAAGAATTTCTACTCTAAGAATCTAAGTATTCTTTAATAAAAAGGCATTTAAAAAAATCGTGTTTTAAAAACAAGTTCATTTTAAGCAAGTTTTTCCTTATAGGAAGTTAAACAATCTACCATTGGGGTAAGCGGAATTAGCTTGTTTTTGGATTATTTGTTTAGGGTTTACTCCACTGGCAGATTAGTTTGCTTGTTTTAAGAAGAAACTCATTTTGACTTGTTTTTGTTTTCTTTAAACAAGTCATTTTTTACTTGTAAAATGCCTCTTGATTTAAGAGTGTTTAGATATATGAGCTAGACACAAGACAAAAAAGCTAAGTAAGAAAGTAATTGTCTGCATTGTAGTTGCAAATGTAAGGTTGTGAGGAAGTTAGAATTTTGAGACGGTCAGAATGACCTTTTTTAAATATTATTTGTCAGGAACACACTTTTATAGTACAATCTTTTACAGTAAGTCAGAAATGTCCATTTGAAGGCTGATTTCTTTATGTGTGCCTAATATAGACATTCTTGGAAGTTGATGTTTGAGTGACTTGAACAAACACGTGCAAGTAACCCGATGCCCTTTACAGAATGTGATGTTATGTGATCTGGCACGAGTCACCATAACAACACACGCATCATCACCTGTGCTTTAATCCAGCTGCTCTGCGAAAGGAAACGCTGCTCAAAGCTTCTGCCCCATTGTTCAAACTGTAACCCATCACAGAGCTGTCGTTACAATATGTGTTTTGTTTCCACACAGGAAATTGCACGCCACCTTCGGCCCAAAACTTTACGAGCCCTGTACGGCAAAAACAAACTGCAGAACGGCGTTCACTGCACAGACCTACCAGAGGACGGGATTCTAGAGGTGAGCTCATGCAAATCCCATTCAAACTCAGCGTTACGCAAGAGCCACACAGTCACGTTTTTGTCTTCGCTCTGTGACTCTAGTGTAATAATATGAAATATTTGAGGATCCCACAAATGAAGGGCAAGGACAACATGGCATCCAGGTCTCATGACTGACCTCAGTGTCTGACAGGAAGGGAAGCAGAGGAGCTTTGGTAGAGGAAAAAAAGCCATTGTTATGCCAGCGAGTGGGTTTGGCCCGGTGGACGTCATTGTTGTCCACAACTCCTGATCCGTCCAGCCTCCAAGCACAAATGGTCCCTTGTTAATCATTTGCCTGCTGACCGACTCAGCCATGACATTCCAAGAGCTCAGGCCTCACAGAGAGCCAGCCACTGCTGTAACAGGCACAATTCAGGGACAAGTCAATTGTTTGAAAGTAAAACAAGATGGTGAGCTGATGCCGAGACCCGATGAAGTGCTTAAAGTGTGTCACACATTAACATGAGTTTTGTTTTTAAATATAGACGCTGAATAGGGTATAAAAATTAACTAATAGTTATGACCGAACTTTCCCAGTTGAATAATTGGATTAAGAACGTTTTCTGAAATGTTATGTTGAAATATGTACATTTGAAGACTTCTCTAGAAAAAAAATCAGAACTTTGGAGAGCGAGTAGTGTTTACAGAAGGAATTTTGAGATTTTCACTACAACATTTACAGCAGAGATGCCTAAAGTAGAGCCTACGGGGCCAAAGTTCACCTATGGTATAATTTGATTTAGCCCACCATCCCATCTGAAAAAAGAGGGGGAATAATGGGGAGGTGGTTGGGGCGTATGCCTTTGACAGTGATCGTCCTTTCGAATTTAACATAACCGTTTGTTTCTTTGTTTTATTGCTAAAATACAAAAAAGCAAACTGAAATTAAATGATTTTATTAAATACTGTAAACGAGTCAGACATTTAAAATGTTAATGCTGTCATCTACGAGAAAATCAAATAAGCTTGACTAGAGTATTCAGCATTAAACTTGTGTTATAAATGAAATAGTTTATGTTTTACTGTAATAAGTTCATTATAAAATGTTTAAAGTGATAATGGATTAGTCAGTATGATCTAAAGCAAAGTTTTCTAGTTATTTTTAAATATTAAAGAATAAGTTAGAAAATGACCCTTAGCAAATTTAATATAAATGGTTTGGTATATATTTCAGGGTTCTTACACCTTTTCCAACTTCAAATTCCAGCACTTTTCAAGCACTTTCAAGGTGCACTTTTGTGCTTTTTTTACTGGATGTACTTTTTCACATTTAAACCCATTGTGCTTTTTAAAAAACACAATATGACCTTTTAACTTAATGTGTTGAATACTTTGGAACAAAAGTTCTGATCAAATGTGCCATTATTTGTAACTTTAGGTGGTTTCTAAAACAAAATCTGTCAGTGTTGTTTTCATTCTCTCGTACCCAGACCTTTAAATTTTCTCAGCTGTAGCTCACTGTCATTGGTGGAAAGGCATTGACTAAGTGATTGACAGCTGATATTAACAAATCCATTCGCGTTCAAGACATGGGCCAATCAGAAGGCGGGGCAGGCATTGCAGGCTTTGTTTCCTGCAGCAATTTAACATGTCAACTGTTTAAACTATTTCTGAGTGCTGCGTTTGGCATTTTTAGTACAAAAATGCATTCTGCATGAATGTCTCCTAAATACGGTCATGCGTTGGACATTTTGCAATGAAAACTGGTCACACGGCAACAGTTTTATGGAATCGCATAAATGCTCCCAAATATATTTTGGGCTCGCATAAATAAAATTTTGGGCGCAAATGCATCCAAAACGATCACAATTTTAAATTCAAGCAGGTTCGAGCACTTTTAAACATCAAGCATTTTCCAGGATTTCCAGCACCAGTACAAACCCTGATATTTGGCCCAAAGCCCTCAGTCAACTTGGTTTGGTTTGAACAATTTGAACAATACTGTAGAATTTTTGTAGAATAAAATGTATATAGTGTATATAGTCTAGCATATTATGCATATTTTGTATAATCTAGCATATTTTTAACTCTTTAAAAATGTTTCAGAATGTGAATAAAAGTGTAAAGTTTGGTTTTAGTGCTGCTGAAGTTGAGATTTATCACAATTCAAATGTATAAACTCATAGAAAACTCCAAATGTCCAAATTGCAACAAGCAAATATAATTAAAAGAAAGCTGATAAATCCATACTGATAATAATCAGATAAAACCCTTAGTTGTAACAGATAAACTTGAAACTGTGGAAAAAGAAGTTTTTATATTTTTCCTCAGAAAGGCGAGATAGAAAGCAAAGAATTCTGAGGAAAGTTAAACTCAAATGCGTCTAAAATAAACCTATAATTATGACATTTTCATATGCTTATCTGTGAAAATGACATTTGAGTTAAATTTTTCCTCAGAGTTCTTTCATTTCTATCTCGACTTTTTTAGGGAAAAGATAAAAACTTACATAATTCTATAAGTCATAATTATCAGTGGTCATAATTGTGAAAAAAAAGTTGCAATTAAATTTGTAATGAAATAAACAGAATCTTTCCATTCAGTGCAAAAGGATCTTTGTTGAGCATTTTTAAATCACACTAAACACTTCACTCTAAATGCCTGTTGACACCAAAAACAATGTAGTTTGAAGATCGTTCAATTATAATAGTAGAGTCACAAAATAAAAACGATAAATTAGCCAATCAGAAGCCATAATCTGCACAAGCACTTAGAATAAACGGTGATATTGTACACTAATGTGGACACTAAGATACAGGGTTCATACGGTCATGGAAAACCTGGAAAAGTCATGGAGTTTTGACATGGAATTATCCAGTCCTGGAAAAGTCATGGAAAACAGATATCTGTATACTTGAGTTTAGGTTAGTTGTCTTTACTTCTTTTTTTTTTCCTTGGCCAGTCACATACGCTCACACTATTAGTTGGGGTGTAAACATTATCTAAATCAGTTTTACATAGATATAAATTAAAACTAAATAAATTGCTGCGTGTTTTACGATACGCTGTAATAAATTTGAACATGCACGGTTTTTCTTTTACCACGCATATGTAGACATTGCATGAAACATTTGGTCATGAAAATTTACTTGAAAGTCTTGGAAAAATCAGAGAAGTTATGAAATTAGTAGTTTTAGTAGTTGAAATGTGTATGAACCCTGAATATAGTTATCTTCCTCGTTGTTCCTCCATGGAAACTTTGTTTTTAAAGTATGTACCCAGCAAGCATTTTTTGTTTTTAAAAAATGTCTAAGAGACGTCTAAACATAGTGGTCTTGGCTAAAACAAGGCTAAACTTGGGCTGTCTAATAGACGTCTAAGAATAGACCAAAACTAGACGAGTCTTCAAACAAACGGAAATGAATGACTACACATATGAAGTCTGTCTATTTGACCTCTAGTCTATTGGGCTATTCTTAGATGTCTAACAGATTTTCGCTGAAGTTTTGCCTTGTTTTAGCCAAGCTGTCTACGTTTAGATGTCTATTAGACGTCTATTAAACACAATTGTTTGCTGGCTGGTGTATACCATGTTATTTGACAGCTGTTCAGTTTTTGCAGTTGACCTTTTGCATGTTTCATTGTGTAGTAGATTGAATTTTGTGAAATTCTCTTTTGCAGGTCCAGTATTTCTTTAAGATTTTAGATGGATGAAGCAACTGTGAGATGGAGATGTCTTTTCGGCTGTGATTTCAATAAAGACCACTTTGACAATGCCTCAGTTGTCTGTCCATTTATTTCTTCTTAGGTCTTACCCAGATTTAAATAACATTACAAGAGCAAATGCAACTCCTGACAAGTGTTCTGACGTCCAACGATGAACATTAAACACTAACAAAACATCCTATTACACGGGGTACTGCTTTGCATTTGACAGGTTTCTTTTTTAAAAACCTTTGACCAGTGACTTTGGTTTTTTGGATTCATACATTACACTCTCCTGCTGAAAAAAATTGTACAACTGCATAAATATAAAATTCTTCCACCATGAAAATGGCTAAAACATTCATTAGAAAGTAACACCACGTCACGTGATGCATCCAGAACAAAAAAAAATAAAACAAAAACCAAATAAAAAAGCACTGAGTTGCCAAGCTGAACACTGGCCACTTCAGTCCTCCAGGCGAGACACACAGCTCTACACTTAATAGTAAAGGAAAAGATAAGCCTTACACAGAATTGACATTAGCCCCAATTTCCCAAATTGAAAGACGATCGAATAAAAAGTCAAAATTTGATGTAAAAACATTCCCCACAATCAATGAAAAAGAGAAGAAGAAAAGCAAAGGAAATGATCGTTTGAACGGAGTGCAGTCACTTACAAACACACACACACACACACACACAGAGACCTGGGGAGTTCAGAGCGTACCATGCCAGTATTTTCAGTTTTTAAGTAGACGATTATGCGCATTCACACACACTCTCTCTCTCTCTCTCACACACACACCTTGGACCGCTAAGGCTTTCTCACATAAGACAACAGAAATTACAACATGGCTTGGAAAGGACCACTGTATGCGACTACTGCACTGCACACTCCATAAAATATAAAGAGACCACACGAGGCAGAAATACTCAGGGGAAGGAACACTGCTCGCTACATCAGTAGTGGAATTATAATTTACAGTAATAAATGAACGTCCCATGGCTCACGGAATATTCTCATTTACAGTAGAATAAATACTTTGCTATTGCTACTCTTCCTGTAATTTACATCCTAACCCTAGACATGCAGAGAAAGCTAGTGTAAAGCGTACAGATTAAGTGTAGGTCCCGTATGTTACGAAAGTTTGTTCACGACTGTGTTTTTTTCTTTTTTCTTCTCCAATTGAATTTGCACTCGTCTCCGTTTATTCGTCTAAATTATTGTGTTTTGAAATGGGCAGAATAAAAGAGCTATTTTCACAGCTAAGGTCATGACTTGGTTTTGATGGTGAACTTGATGTCAAAACGTCCCTGAGAACGGTCCTTCTCGCTGTAATCGATGTTTTCTCCGTATACTTTGCATTCCACGCGTACGTCCACGTCTGTAGTGATGTTGTAGAACTTGATGGCCACCAGAGGCTGGAGGTACTGCGGCTGAAGCAGTTTCCCGTAGTACGGATAATACTGGAGGGGGAAACCATTCCCCACTCCAAAGTATTTAATCTGCCCGAGCAAGTTTGCTTCCTCTTCTCTCTGTTGAAGAAAATAAACTAGCGTTAGATCATTCTCTGAAGCACTTCGGAGCTTTGCATCGCTGTGATTGTTTAAGAACTATAACCATAGAGTTGATTATAGACCATTTCAATTTGCTCATGTCGTTGGCTCATCAACATTTCCTGTTTGTTATCAAACTACTTCATAACTGTAACAAGGAGCAATTCAATCATAACGTTAAAACAGCTATCAGAACATTATCAATATGTGGCTCATTTTGGATTCTCGGAAGCTCTAGAAATTAAACATTTGAAACAGGAAATACATTGGGAACATTGTTTTTGTTTACATCCCACAAAATGGTCTATGCTAGCATCTACAGCAAAAATACATATTATTGCAAAACTAAAAAAAAACTTTTCATTTAAGACTTTTTAGTAAGATCAAAATAACCTTTCTGAGGGGAAAAAGGTTGGAATTCCTTTAAACCCACAATAACAAGAAATAGAATGACAAATCTGATAAGTTTGAGGTGTTAGATAAGAAAAAGAAAAAGTCTCTATTACTACTTATTGATTTATTTGTGGCAAAAAACAGCTTTTGTTGGATTCTGTTATCAATTAACAACACAATATCATTTTGAAATTGATTTCAGTGATGATCCTGCGAGTCATTCTCTTAACATTATCGCTTTTTTCACAAAATCTGAACACTTTACAGATGTCCTGTTGTGTTTTTTTGTGAATGGGCCTTTTGAACCTTAATATTCTGTCTTAAAATTGGTAAAATGGTGCTATAGGCCATTTTTAAACAGGTCATTTTTTTCAGAAAAATGGTTCAACAATATTACGTTTAGTTGTTACATATATAAAAGTCTGTTAGACAAGAATAATTTTAACTAAAAAATAAATATATAAATAAAATAATATCATTATTAGTTATGTTTCCATCCAAAAATGCCAATAAAATGTATGCGCAAAACTGGAATATCGCATAAAAGACGTGCCAATAAAGCAGCGTTTCCATCCAATGAGTCAATCAGAACAAAATCGGCACGTCTTGATTAACTGGCACCAAATATCAAATATAAAAATGGAACATGCTGCGGAAAAAGAAGCTTTGTTTATTTAATAAATGACTTGCGTCTCAGAAGACAATACGCGTGGTGGCGTTTGAAGGCGTGAGATGTGGAGCACAGAAGCTCTTGACAGTTCTAGAGTTCATTAATAATATAATAACACTAATGCTGAAATGTTTAAGGTGTTTTAGAATGACCACATCAACATTTCAGATGTTTTACAATGTGCTCTGCCTGCCGGTTTGTCCATTCAGACACATTTTTATCACCACAAAATCTCTTATAATAACATCACATGACCTTTTATAATGCGCATACTTGAAATTCGTAGTTATTATGCATATTTTCTTATTGAGTAAAAAGTTTATCCAACTCAATTATGCACGTTTCTTATGTGCATTTTCAAAATGGAGGCTGGAAACACAGCTATTGTCTGAACTACAAGACTTTGTGCACGCACATGTAGTGTCAACTACTTCTTAAACTTTATTTTCATGAATCGAGGCATTGATTTGATTCAAAATACTTTACATAAAATCAGTGAAACTTTAAAGTTGTAAAGGAAATCGTTTATTTTTCTATTTTGTACACACATCCTCACTGTAAAATTATAATGAACTTTTTTTTTTTTTTTTAAATCCGACTTTAACTGAGAATTGTTTCTTACCTTGCTTGAGCAGTGGATTGGAATCACATTGCCCTGAAGTTTTGGGCGAACTGCCTCTGGGATACTGTCGTTGGATGCTGGTGGCTAAAAAAAGAGATTGACAGTGAGACCCAACTGCACAGGTGAACTAAAAGCACTTGATGTATACACAGTAGGCACGGGACGGTAACCATTTTAAAGGTATACCACGGTTTGGAAAATACAAGATTTTAAAAACGCCAAAATTTCCTGTAACACCGTTCCTACGATATATGTGTGATTTATTTATTTATTTATCAGCAGAAAAGATCCCCAAAGATGCCATTTTAAATTTGCTTTTAATATGTGTTTTTGAAACTAATGAAGACGTCATTAGCAGAAGTAAATTTAAATTAAATTCTTTAGCCTGACATGTTTACTGCTTCAAAATATTACAAATGTTTCTCAAAATAAGATATATTGTGTTCAGAGTGGAAAAAAGTAGTTTTTTTAACCGGACATTTACAAAGAGCATATTTTAGAGCAGTAATCACAATAACGTGAAACCATAATATTTTTATCCAAGGTTATCATACCGTCAGAATCTTATACCGGCCCAAGCCTAATACACTATAGTAAACATATATACATCTGCTAATGTTAGATAACTCACCCGTGGCATGAAATTCACGATCCTATTGAGTTTAACAATGAGGCAGGGCTGGCCATCGTCAAAGCCGTAATTTTTTTGCTTTTCGTCTTTTTGGCCTGAGCACTCGCCCAGCCATTCTCGTCTGAAGCGGCAGGCCTTCCTCACGCCATTGTCGCTCTCCAGTTCTCCACGGTCCGTATAAAATTCGGGTTTATCTAAACAAGAAACACATTACAGTTTTTTAGTGACTACCACAACTGCATTTCCTTGTCATTACAAGAACAGTGCACGGGCAAGCAGGACAGCAAAATGAGTTAAATAAAGGCCCAATTGTCTACCTAAGCAGTGAACTGTTAACTTGTGAATAGAGCTCATATGACACAGATCTGAGGAGATCACCTTCTGAACTGTACCCTTTTAAAACGACCTACTTCATGGTAGAGCTATATATACATTTTAATGTTTTCAACTAAAATTAGAATGTAGAAATAGATTGTATTTGCCTGTATGTTTACTTGACAATAGCATTTTGGGGGGCTTGAAAAGGAAAGCTTTTGTGTCTGATTTTTCTAAATGCAAGTTGATTATAGGAAAGTCATGCACATGCGTATAGGCAAGCATGAGTACTTGACAACCAAAACATCTGTGATGAACTATAGGATTCAGTGCACAGACTATTTGTAATATTTTATTAATATTGACAGTTGTCAAGGATTTGAAAACATTGTCGTCTGTGCACAACACTGTTCGAAAATGCTGGAAAATCTTGGATGTATAAAGATGTGTGTATAATATACATATATACAGTCTTTGAAGTTCTTGTACCTCCACAATCTTCAAATTTGGTGTTATCCTCCTGGATATCTTGATTATATGCCTTAAGAAACGCATCAATATGATTGACATATGGCATGTAAGTTGATTCGTCGTTGATATTGTAGCTGATCTCGGCTTTGTCCGGGCGTGGGGAGTGTGATAATCCTGTAAGTAAAGCAGAAGAGTTAAATGTGGCTCGACAACTGCTGTTAACCACAAAAATGAACATTTAGCATTCATGAACTTCCCTCCAGCTCTGAAAGCAGTGTATACCTACTCTACCAATTCTCATGGAAGTTCACTATTCAGATTCCCAGCTTGGCAGTAATTTTCCACCAGCTCGAACGTACGGCTACTGAGAGGCGTGGCATGCGGGGAGCCAGCCAACAGAAGCCTTATATTGTCTGTAATGGCAGTTTTTGTTTCAACAGGCTGGCGATGACCTTGGTGCTTCGGCTGCAGCTGGTGTGAAACATTTGAAAGTTTCAGGGGCACTCTTGGATAGACCTTTAAGACTGTGGTTAGAGCTTGAGAGAGTCTCCCAGCCTTCCCCTCCTCCTCTCCACAATCTCACGTGCTTCTGTCACACAATGGAAACTTTTAGCCCCTAAGTGGGAGGCGGGACTTGAACGCGGGCTGCATGTCTTCTCTACGTCCGGCCTGCTTCACAGCGAATAGCTGCACACCATGGTGATCTCCACTTCATTTTAGACTGCACTGTTCAAGGGCCGCCTTTCTTAAAGGGGAAACGGCGCTGCTTGGCAGAGAGATTAATGCTTAGGGCCCTTTGGAACACAGCTAAATGTAATGCCAGGGCGGGAGTGTGCACTATGCAAACATTCACTGGCATGGCTGGTGTAGCCAATGGCTGGCAGTGGAGCAACAGGCAACCTTACGGGGATTATGGAAACTGCAGCACACAATGCTCTCCACTGTTACTTTTCCAAAGTACTTCCAAATTGCAAAACATTTGTTTGTGTTCAAAACAAGATCAGGGATCAAATCAAAGCATGTTGTGAAGTATTTCAGAGGTATGTTGTACATGCAGAAATGCAGACAGCATCAGAAACACTTCAAGGACATGCAATGTGTGCCAATGAGGAACAACAATGCTGTCAGAACCCAAACGGGAAGCCTCGTCAGTCTAGCTGGGAGTGTGAAGGTCAAAATGGCTTTCTGTGTGTCTCTCTCCTTCTCCTCCCTCACACTCCTACCACCTCCACCCTCTTTCCCTTTCTGAGATCAGACAGACCTTTAACGTCACAGGGTTTACAGAAACTTTTAGCGCTGTGGAACAATCTGTCTATCAATGGGAATGTTGTTCTTTCCAATTTTCCATATTAAGTGCTGAAGAATAACATAGAAGCTTCTTGATGCCCATGATGGAAAAGTGAATGTTGTCAAGCAGGTGACAAACACATCTCAAGTGGAATTTCACCTCCAAATACACTATTGAGGTGTATTTGTTAAAACAAGACTGTTATGTGGAATAAGATGTTAAAACATCTTCCGAAGTTGTGTACAAGAACATAATGATAGCCCTGATGTTAGTCCCAATTTTGACCAACACAACGCTGTCACATATAGTACTTATCAGAAATCAGACCAGACAAAACAACTATTAAAGTACACACAGATCACTCTGTATCTGTTCGGGTTGGTGATTCATTCTTAGAGCTTTCAAGTACAGATAGTACTCTGAACGCTTTTGGGCATGTAATATCTTCAACATCAACCAATCTGGTTAGTTACCTGGGGGTGCAACCCTGTCCTGGTATGTGGGCTTGTAGTTGCTGAGAGTCAGGAGCATGGCCTGGATGGTGCCAATGAAAATTCCAGCCAAGCAGCCGTAGAAGATTACGTAGAAGATGAAGATTTTTACTGCAGAGAAAACATGAAGCATCAAGTCAATAGGATGTTTAAGTGCACAAACAAGCAGAAAAATCACACTGAGTTTCTATAAACAAAACCCAATTTAAAGGTCTGTAGAACAAAATCCTGTGAATTTAAAGAGTGCTAAACAGATTATGTTGAATGAGGTATAAACTGAATGTTTGAAGTTGGCATGAAATATTCAAACAAATTTCTAACTATTTTTAAAGTGTCAGTGATTCATTCACTGCCACTTGAAAAAATAAATAAATAAATAAATAAATAAGAAATTAGTCAGACATCTGCAATCATATCCATTTCTTTAGAAACAATCAACTGAAAGCTAGCATTCAGGTCTGTCTCCTTACAATCACCCAAGTTTTTATTCTGTTTTCCAATAATACATTTAATTCAGATGGACTTTAAAAAATTAACACAACAAGGAAAAGATCTATAGGCTTGGGATGATAACCGTTTTCAAGGTATACCACGGTTTGGAAAAGTCCGGGTTTTAAAATTGCCAACTTTTTCTGCTATTTTTCAGTATCTCCAGCAGAAAATATATCCAAAGATGCTACTTTAAATAGTAAAGAAATCTAGGTTTTTGAAACTAATGAAGACAGCAGAAGTCAATGATTCATTAAATTCTTTAGCCTGACATGTTTAAAGCTCCGAAATATTATAAATGTTTCTCAAAATAAAATATATTGTGTTCACAGTGGAAAAGGTTGTTTTTCCAGCCAGAAATTTAAAAAGAGCATATTTTAGAGCAGTGATCACAATACCGTGAAATTGTAAAACCGTGATTTTTATAACCAAGGTTATCGTACCGTCAGAATCTTATACCGGCCCATGTTAGATCTATCATTATATCTGTTTCAGAGGAAACTGTATCTGAACTGCTGTGAATAAAGAGTAACAAACTCTGATTAGTCACTCTTAAAAATCAAGTTTTTCTTTTTGTTAAATAACTTTGATCATTCAAAAAACTTATTTTTTTATTTAACTTTGATAATTTAATTCAATTTTACTGATCATAAAAATAAATGGATTTATAAACATTAACATCTTTTTAAAACATGGAAGCTGGCTGCCTTTGGAGCCTTTGAAATTTATGCAAAGTTGCCAGTCACTGAAACATCCCCAACTTTCCTGTATGAAGAGCAGCGACAGCAGCTTCAGTCAATCTCACACATTACTCATAACAGCAAGTCTCAGAACTCACATGTCCCTCTCTGTCTGACGCAACAGAACGAGACCTGCAGAATAACATTCCTGTCTGTCAGTTACTGTGCCAGTCTGTGGGCTTCATTGAAAGGGCCCCAAAACAACCATTTCAAACTGGTCCCCTATAGACATAAGCAGCAGGTTTGTGTGTGTGGATGACGAAGTTAAACTTCCTTTCTTTCAACGTTGGCAGTAAAACTTTGCCGCCACTTAAATCTACAGGAAACACATTCAAGTTTGAATATGGTCCCACAAACAATAGATTCACGTGCCGTAGAGATTCGGTGTGGGCAGAGGAAAAAGCCTGACCCTGAGGGTATAAATAATAGGACCTCTGTTTCTAAACTCCTATGATGTTTTAAAACCTTGTTAAAGCCACATTCAAGAAGATTGAGAGTAAGATTAGCCACATGCCAACTGTAAAGGCAGGGCATCTATTGGCTGTTAACTGTGTCATTCATTCTCTCTCACTTCTCATTGGTTTACCTGAAAGCTTTACTCAATCGAGTAACTTAAATCATGTAAAACAACACATTTAGTTGTATCCTGTAGTCTCCAGCCAGTGTTTTGGGGGCAGCAACCTGAATGACGCAATACAAAGGACGACTTTTCATTAGCTTATACCAGTAATAACGCGGTTAAATCGATACAATAAGCCAAAAATACTCTTTAAATGAATAATACAAGCTTTAATGAAATCATGCGCGTCAGTGGAAACGTTTCCTCTACTGCTAACATCCCCTTTCTCTAGCTCTCTCCAAGCTCGTACCATACGGTTTGTTTGGCTAGCTTTTGCCAACTTTATCAAACCAGTCAAACTGTAAAGGCTCACTGACTGAATCTCTATTATTTTACGTGAAATTTAGGAAACAGTTTTAGACCTTCCTGGTAAGTATAAAACGAAACTTCACACGGATAGAGCTTAGCTGGCTAAGCTACATGTGACTGACTCCCTCATACTCCACATGTGTCAGACTCAGACACATATTTCCTCCTGTTTCACTACTCAACTATGTGCATTTCACAACCTGTGTATAGTCTTATTAAATGTGAAAACTCTATTGTTCTAACGCGAAGGTTATGCAACTTTTCATTAACAGGCATTCATTAATGAAGGCAAATGTACATGTCAATCTTCCATCTGATAAAACACACTAACGTTAAGCTGATAACATATTTACAGATAATATAGATTTACACAGAAAGAAGGACGATGAATGGGTACTGAACATCCAGCTTTATGACATTATCATTAACTGCAGGCCATAAAGTTACTGGCCAAATCACATTTCAGTCACCTTGAGGATAGAAATTACATAGCCAAACATGCTAAGGTCATTTTATTCATGCCTGACACTTGAAGCTTTAATGTAATGTGACTCTTCGCGGTAAAAGGTTGTTTCCATTCAAATCAGAATCGTTTCTACTCTGTTTGAACTCTGTTTAACAGTTTGATAGCAGTTTAAATGAACCCATCACTGCAGGTAGTAACTTTGAAATCATTTGATGCTTACAAAACAGCAAAGTCACTAAACTCATGTTTCCATGAGTGGCTGGAAAACAGTAACCCTCATTGAAAGACAGCTAACGTTAACATTATGACAGTCCTAAACTAACGTTAAAATAACATCCTTATCACGACCTTCAAAAATGACAATCTCTTCACCCACAACGGACCCAAACGTTAACATTTGCCGTTAATCAAGTCATTGTTCAAATGTTACTAAGTTAGACGCGCTATAAAAAGCACTATTTTCCTCCCTTATGACATTGTCATTTACATTTTTACCACTCCGTGGCTCGTAATATTCACAACTCTGTTCATTTATTACACGTCTATAACGCGATTTTCTCTATGATAAATCATACAACACACCGCTCTTCTGTTTAGCCCTGTGTGTAACGTTAGTCTTTTAATAGTGGCAATTAACTTACCACTTGCGTATGATAGCAAAACACAAGCGCGAGTTTTTCCAATTTGAAAACGAAAGTCACGACTCAGTCAAATCAAACAGGTGCCGAGCTTGTCCAAAGTCAGAAAACACACCGTTTCTCCCGTTTTTAAGGTTAAGACCTATCGATATTACTACCTTATACAGAAGGAAATACAACTTTAATCCAAGAGAACAGGCGCTGATGAAACAATCTGGAGAACACTTACGCCAACTACAGCCTGTGCGTCCTAAAAACTCCTTCTTGTCAGAATTCCAGATAAAGGACTTCCAGCCACCGTCACCATCTTTATTTGCGGGCATTTTCGGTATTTAGTTCCCTTTTTGGTGGTGTTTAAATGGGCCTTATGGACTTCACAGCGATGTTGTCCCCTTCCTTAATGCTGTAAAAAAGGACAAAGTCGTACCCGGTACCTTTGCTTGTACTCACTCAATATATAGTCAGAGCCAGTCTCCGCCCAGTGGCTCTTTTTAATAAGTTACCTTCAAAAGAGGGAGGGCAGATATTGACCAATCACAGGCCGCTTTGCTTTTGCGTAACAACTCGTAAACGGATGGAATTCATGCTCGCATGTGTACACAGTTCAGCACTGACTGTATCCTTCAAACTCCAAACTGTGTTCTTATACCTCAAAATTACCTTCTGACTGGTCACATACAGTTTGAACCACAATAGGGCACCACGGGGCTTTAAAGTTCTTATTCGTTTGTGTGATTTTTGGAGATGTAGGCCCGCGGCAAGGAGTGCGAATGTTTCTAATACGTTACCACGGTGATTCTACGTTTTTATAGTATCATTTAGTATCATATAAACATCATAACGCATACATTTCATACACAGATGGCATGGTATTATCATTTGACACCAATACTTTAATATAATACTGTTGCAATACAGAAAACCAAAAGCAACACGAGTGATCAAATAAAAGTATTCTTTAGAAATCATAATTATTTTATGAAAGTACAGATGGCGCTATGATTCAAAATATAGTTTCTTCTATTTGCACACCTTCATTCCTTGATGGTGTGTGAGGAGCATAAATGTGTGTATGAGGTGTGTTGTCAAGAGGAGGAAACATTTTGACCTGCTGTGGATTACTCGAGTTCAAGAATGTGATTTGTGCTCCATTCAAGGTCATTTGTGGGAGGCAACAGGACCATGAACCCACCTACACTAAACCTGTACAAGAGCACCGAGCCGTAGAGATTCAGTCTCTCAATAAGGTGTTTGTGAATTTAGGTCGTTTTCTTCGTTTTTCTTTCACATAATCTATAGACAAGCTTCAACAAGTGTTAATCTTTGCAGGTATTAGGGACTGCATACTGGGATTACTGGTTCATTCATTGAGTTTGGGGGTTGGTTGACCCCAAAAACTCTATACACTGTAATTAAGTTGAATTCATCAGTTAAATGTAAATACTAATCTACTTAGCACATATATAATACAAGAGGATGTTAAGACAATGTATACATAAAAATGTAATCCCATAATAAATCTGCAGTAAATAATCAGTTAATAGGTGCACGCATTGTTGTTATGGGTGGGGAGCCTCTAACATGTACACACAGGTGTTTCTACAGCATCAATATTGGCCTAATGTCTATATAATAGATAATGTCAATTGAAGCTTAACCAAAGTACATTCATTTAGAAAAGGATGAATCACATCATGCAATTGCAATGGTACAGTTGAGCTAAAAATCACAGATCAATTGATGTAACATCATTATTCTCAGAAATAAAGGTCCAAAAGCTGTCACTATGGGAGTATCTTTTCAAAAAGTACATGTTTGTATCTAACCGGTCCACATTGGTACCTCAAAGGTACCCGAGGGTCACGTCTATATTGTTTTGGTATATGTGCACTTTAGGCATTAAATTGTACCTTTAGGGCACACATATGGACTCTTTTAGGATCAAATTGTACATTTTGAAAAGGTGCAACAGTAAAAATGTGTATATTTTATACTTTTCTGTCTGTATAACAGAAAGTTTCTTGTACATACTGTAAAATGATCAACACTGGACATTGGATTACATAGAAAAAATATATGTGGGATAAAATATTATGCAAAGTCTGTTGAAAAAAAAGATTCATAAAAGTTTTGGACCAACAAATTATGCAACTTTGGGATGGACTATGCTATTTAGGTAATATAAGATAGAATATCATGTTAATTTCTACATCAAATACAATTCACAAAAGGGATTTTATAAAGGCATATTAAACACAGGTGTTCACTTCAATATTGCCAATTACTTTTGTGAGTCAAAGAAACATCAAAATATTGTAATGTTCACCATTCAAAGCAACATATATATATGTGTGTGTGTGTGTGTGTGTGTGTGTGTGTGTGTGTGTGTGTGTGTGTGTGTGTGTGTGTATATATATATATATATATACACAGTGTGGGCCATTTATACGGATATACCTTAATAAACTTATTGGGAATTTCACAAGAAAAACAATGGTGTGCTTGGTTTTAAACGTAACTTTATTCTTCCATGAGTTATTTACAAGCCACCTCAAATGTGCCAAAAACAGGATTTTAATATCACCAACTATATATATATATAGTTATATATATATAACTATATATATATATATATATGTAATAAAAACATGTGAGCGTGCTAAATTTCTATATATTTTAAGTGAATACAAACTTTTTAATGTGTAAAACCTATTGTTTTATTGAATATTGGCTAAGAAATAGAGATTTATAACTTTTGGGGCTGTACTGTGGTATTTGAAAATGTCTTGTATTTAACTCTAAATATGCCTGGCAAGACTTTTGGCACATTCTAAAATATGAAAACATATTTAAATCTGTATTACATTGTTATTGTTTTGATGCTTGAAAAAAACCTTTTTTGTCTTTGACCTATAAACATTAGACTGTTTCCTAAGTCCCACACCCACAAACTCTTACAAGTAAGAAGCAAAAGCGTTTTGTATTTCCAGGCTATTGGCAAGTCCTCTGGGAGGTGCTGCATTCCGGTATAGGTTGCTGATTGAATGTGGCAGGCGCATGGACTGCCAGACCCCGCTTCATCAACAATGTCATACCTGTGCAACGGCACGGAAAGATGGCATCTTCTTCAGCATGCTCGTCTGTTCCCCCTCCCTTTGTCACTAAATAAACTCGCCATTACTTTCAACTTCAAAACAACTCTTTACTAGCTGACAAGCTGAGGTGTAGATAGTGCTGAGCCCTTTGATGCCTGAACTATTCTTAGTCGTAAGAACTTTTTTCAGTCCCCTTACTCTTACAGCCAGTTTCAAACTGAGGACCATTTGAGTTTTCTTTATTTGTGCACAACATAGTTGTGATGCCATTAATTATATCTGACATAATAGTCGCAAAGACTGCCTGAAGCTGTAGACGATTTAAAAAAGCGTGAAGTTCGTGGCCTCTTTTTGTGTTTATCTTACTGACGCTGACACACATTGGCAGTGGAGAGTATGAATGGTGATAAGGGTTTTTCCCCTGGCCTCTAATGTGCCTTAGATATCTCTCAACATCAGCTGACAGCAGTGACAGCAGAGTCAAAATTCACTCATGTAAGAGTTACAGTACATGGCAAATGAGAGGGTGATGGGACATTTGTTTTTATAATGCATCACTGGTTTTCTAATTACCATCTCTCAAGCTGGGGTGTCTGTTTAGAGCTGTACAGAGAGTCAGAGAGTTATTAAAGCTTTTGAAATAAGCATATTTTTTCAAATGTACTTTTTGAAAGACTTCATGTCAGGCAAAACATTGCATCATGATTGTGTTTTGGTGAAGCAGCAGACTTCACTAACCAGCACATATATGTCATATTTACATAGAGGCTTTGCTGTGGAATGTAGCTCCAGTCTGGAAGCTTGAACATTTTGTATATTTTAACGACCAAATATATTCAACATGACCAAATATATCTTTTCAGTGTAAACAGGGTAACACATCTGAGTGTTTGAGTTACTTCTTGTTGCACAGATGAGTGGGGGTCATCTAAGAAGTGAAATCCAAAAGCTGAGGAAAAATGTGTATTCTTTTGTTATTTTCTGGACAAGCTATTACTAAAACAAGTATTACGCATGTAACATTATGTAGATTGTTATTTTTATGAGATGAAGATCAAACTTCAGAAATAATTCTAAAATGCTGATTCCTTATTATCATCAATGCGGTTTTGTAGATACTATGATAGTTATACAATAAGTACAATTATTGAGCAAAGAAACAGAGGAATTTGAAACAGAAATATTCTGTAACATTAGAAATGTTACTTTTGATCAGTTTATTGAGTTCTTGCTTAATTGAATTAATAATTTATTTACAATCTTGTTTGATTGGATCAATTTTATTATTGGACATAGCTCATAATAATGTCTTAATGTTCTATCTTTTCAATGTTATTAAGGCTTATATTCAGAACTGTCAAGTTCAGTGTGGGCTGCTTTATTTACTGCTGTGTGTTTTATAGGACACAGTATGAATGCAGACCTGTGGTCAGAATGGATTTAATAATTGGATGCAACAGTCATTTAGGCTACTGTGTTGGGTGACAGTAATATGCATTATAATATTCACTAATACTAGTTTCTCTGATATCCTCTAAAAACAAATGATGGCTAATTTAATTATGCTTAAACCTAAGGTATTTATTCTTTATATTTAGATTTTATACCTTTTTGTGTGCAGTGTACAGTAGTTTTTTGTGAATGTATATGGTCTACAAAGTTCAAAGAAGATCAAAGTCCATGATAAATAGAGTTATTGTTCCCCCAAAAGAAAGAACTGATTCTGAAGTCCCTGAAAAAAGTTGTTAGTAATTCCAGTCTTTCTTCCTGCATAAACCCACGCAGGTTTGTAACAAATTTGAATAATGCTAGCCTATAGTAGAAAGCAAATTCCAAATGTTGAGGAAGTTTAGGCTGATGTAGAAGTATTACACATTAAAATCCTTATCTAAAATTTGTAACAAACAAAATAAAAAACTCACTACTCTACAAAAGATTCAGATATGTTATATTGTTAATTTCTTATGCACTAAGCAATAAATGCATTACAGTTGGACCATTTGACCATTTAAAACAGAGAAGACTCTTGTAAAGAATAAATTTAGAGAGACTCTCCTTTTTACGCTGTGAAAAGAGCAAACTTTCTTCAAAACATTTTTTCAAAAGAGCGTTTTTATATTAAGAGAAAATAACATGTATTTTTATATTGCATAAGGTAATACAAGTAATAATTTTAAAAGATCTGCTAAACAGAATAAGGAACCTTTAAAATAGCACAATAATTGTACATGGACATCTAGAATTAAATCTAATTTAAACATTTTTGAAAAAAAAAAACACAAACCTTATTTTTTTTAAATAAAAGAAGGGTTATATTAGTTT